GCTATTAGAGCCATAGTAAGAGCGTGGTGGTTAGAAGAGCTAGGTAGATTTCTGTGTGTTCAGGGATACAGCCAGTATTGGAGACATATGCCTTTAAGACCTGGAGGGCGGTACTTACAGGCAGTGATGAGGCAGTCATGTGGTTGGGTTTACAACCAATGAGAAGGCAGAACAAAGATTATTTAAATAGGGACACAGGAAGTACCTCCCTCTCTCGGGGAAGCTAGGAGCACTGCAGGAGGTAAGATTTTATCTCTGAGCTCTGACCTCTCGGCTTTTCTCTTTTACCTTGGCTCTGTGTTTCTTATTTTAATAATACGATTGGTTACATCTACAGAGGACAGCTTGGTCTACAGAATGAGTTCCATGACAGCCAGGTTTACACAAAAAAACCATGTCTCAAAAAAAAAATCAAAAAGAAAATAAAGGTATCTCAAGAACATAAGAGGTAAGTACAAGGCCTCTAACCTGCTACTTGCTAAAAACATGATGCAAGCTTTTTTCTGGCCCTGCTCTTGTTATATTTTACAGCTTCATCATAAACACCAGACTGGACCAAGGCCATGATGGGGGGATATCCTTGTCACTAAACTAAGACAAAACTAGTAGGGTTAGAGATTTTAATACAAAGCACCAACAAATACAAAGGGTAATTACTACTAAAGAAAATCATCATCCTTGAAAGTGCTCCTTGTATTAGTCAGGGTTCTCTAGAGTAACAGAGAATATATATATATATATATATATATATATATTCCAACAATGGTGGGTTATAACAGAAAGTCCCCAAATCCAGGAGTTGCTCAGTCTACAAGACTGGATGTCTCAGCTAGTTTTCAGTAGATGCTGAAATTCTGAAGAAGTAGGCTACAATACCAGTAAAGGAATGGACTGGCTACCAAGGCAAGAACAAGCAGGCAAAGAGCACAAGCTTTCTTCTTCCATGTCCTTATACGGGTTATAGCCAAAGGTGTGGCTCAGATTAATGGTGTATCTTCTCTCCTCAAGATCCAGATCAAAGGTGTGTGTCTTTCTATCTCAAAGGTCCAGACTGGAAGTGGATTCACACAAGTGAAAACAATCTCTCACAGGTATGCCTTCCATTTCTGGATTGTAGCTCATTCCAGATGTAGTCACATCACACTCTTGACAAACCCCATGCTTGTCTCAGATAACAGACAAGAAAACCTAGAAAACCCACAGCATTTGTTCTTAATTCAGTGAAAAAAAAAATCACTCATTTTGGAAGCCACACAAAAGAGAGGGCTTTTATTCAATGCCCACTTGCTTTGCTGTAAGATGAACACTTCCTGTTCAGGCATGTCTGCTCCTGAATGAGTACTCACACAAGTTAAGACCATGATTCTGTATACCACTCCACAGAAACCTGAAGGCAGCTTTCTCTAAAATTGGTCTTTACCAGTTTTTTCCACCATAGATGGATGATTAAAATGAATAAAAGTCTGGCTTCAAACTTGTGATCCTCCTGCCTCTGCCTCCTTCAGCAAATCCTACCAGTGTGTGCCACCACAACTGGCGAACGGGAGGTAGAGCCAGGCAGATCTTTGTGAGTTCAAGGCCAGCCTGGGCTACAGAGTGAGTTCCAGGAAAGGTGCAAAGCTACACAGAGAAACCTGTCTCGAAAAACAAACAAAAAAAAAAGGCTTGAGATTGTATCTGCTTCCTGCTTCTTTCTTGCCTTAATCTTTGAGTTAGACTGTACTTGGCTTCTTATATGGCATGTTGATCATTAGAGGATAGTCTATCAAGACCAACAGTGTCAAGTTGTTCTATTGTCTCTGAGCTTATGCATGTTTGTTCTGCTACACCCTTCTAATTTCTCACTGCTCTAAGCACTGAGAACTCATTTGATCAAAACATTTATGCAAGATGATGGTGCCAATAACTAGAGGGATTTAAAAGTTCTCAATTCTAACTGCTTGCTACCATACCAAGTACAAGGTAAAATACTTTTATACATGAAGAGAAACTCCTTTTTAAACCATGTCCTTGACAAACTCCCACATTTTAGCTCATGCTTCCATAAAATCAGTACAAGCCGTGGTCACCCTGGATACCTCTGGCCAGTGCATGTTCCCTTCTGCTCTCACCAGTGCCTCGATTTGAGATCTCAATGTAAGAACCTTGCCTGTCTTATTCATGATAACGTCGCTTGGTCTCATTTCTACTGTTCCTGTGACACAAGATCCCATTTCTGTGGCAATGTTGCCATCCATGTCTTGAGACATGCTCTATCTCTTTCCATACTGACTCAGAGCCCAGCCAATATGACTTATTTAGCCACTAAGCTGGAAGAAGATGTGACCCGGATTTGACAAGTGTCTTTTTTCAATGAGTTTACCCACTTCCTGTTCTTGGACCCTTGGTGCCCAACTGAATGAAGATGGTCTGCTGGGATTGGAGCACTACACACATGCAAACTTACATGTCTGAGCTACAGTCATATGACCCTGATCTGGTGGGCTAGCCTGCAGAGCTCTCATGAATGAAGTTTGCATAAAACTGATATACCAGTCTGTAGCAAAACTACCCAAGTCTTCTTCACCTGAAGAAATGTGAGAAAAATGGCTGAATTATCTTCCAAATTGTTTTTATTATTTGTAACAAAAACTCACTGATACATCTTGATATAGTATTGATTCCAAAATATTTATTATTTATAGGTGGTATTGAAGTGTTTAAGTACTAGAGTAAACAGTAGAGAACTTATACTCTACTGTTCATGGCCTACATGGAGAAAAGCAGGTTCCAGTGATAAAAAGAAAATGACTTGTTTGAAGTACCTCAGCTAATGAATATCAGACTGTGATAGAACCCGTATTTCCTGGCTTTAACTCAAGTCATTTTGCTTCTACACTAGCATTATGCATTGTGTTTCCAGTAATTTATAAAAAATGTCCTCATCCCTGTTGTCTATAGGTGGAGAGTTTTGTTTTTAATGCCAAGAAAGGCTATGTTACATGCATTGACCTGTGCTCATGTCTTCTTTTTTTTAATATTTTTATTTTATAATTAACTTAATTTCATATATCAGCCACGGATTCCCCCGTCCTCCCTCCTCTCACCTCCCAGCCCTTCCCCTCCTCCCTCGAGAAGTGAGACAGTTGATTAGCTTGAACTATTTGGGAGGCCCCCAGGCAGTGGGGACCTGACCTTGGTGCATGTGTGCATGTCTTCTTGACGCAAGTTCCTATTCCAGATTGTAAAGAGTGCTTCATGCATTCCTATGCTACACTCAGCAATGTGTCCTTAGTTCTGAGCTCATCAGATTCCTAATCCTTAACCAAACAGCTGCCAACAGCATGCTCACGTCTTCATTTCTTCATTCATCAAACATTTAACATTTGCTTACTATAACGTACCCCGTTTCAAACCTTGGCTGATGGGGCAAAATCGTCATAATTTGCCTTAGTCCTTTTGTTTTAAAAGGACAGTTCTGGAATAAACATTTGTAGATGTAACCAGCAGTCTTATTAAATAAGAAACACAAAACCAATGCAAAGAAGAAAGCCAAGAGATCAGAGCTAGGAGCCTTACCCATCTGCTGCAGCTAGCCTCTTCAGCCAAGAGACCTACTTCCTGTGTTTTTGTCTTCATATAGACTTTCTGTTCTGCCTTCTCATTGGTGGTAAACCCAACCACATGACTGCCTCGTCAGTGCCTGTCTGTACAGACCTCCAGGTCTTCTATGGTTGGTATTGAGATTAAAGGTGTGTGTCTCCAATGCTGGCTGTATTTTTGAACACACAGAGATCTACCTAGCTCCGCCTACCAAGTGCTGGGATTAAAGGCGTGGACCACCACTGCCCAGCTTTTGCTATGGCTCTAATAGCTCTGACCCCCGGGCAACTTTATTTATTAACATACAATCATTTCCATAAGAAGTCAGTTAATTACAACTGAGAAAAGTACTAATTAAGAAAAGCATTTCATATGCCTGTAGACACTTTCAGAGAGCTCCTCTTAAATGTTCCTCTTTCCTTAATCCTGACCTGGTAGAAACAAACTTTTAAGAAAAAGAAAACAAAGAAAAGTAGTATAAATTTCCCTTTAATATACCCACTCCTCTAAAATACTTAATATGCCCCTCAGAAAGGTCCACATTTGAACTCATCTCTTGTGTATTTCATATGGCACCCCACTTCTAGAACTCTGGAAGTGATACATTTTTAACTATGTGGTTACCTTTCCTCTGCCATGATACATTTCATTGTCACCCAAAAGTAACTTAATTGCAAAAACTGAAAGTGGTATGTTTATTATAAGTAACATTATATTTTTGAATTAACTAAATTGGAAGAAAAAAGGAAAATGATTTTTATCAGACAGAAAGGGAGTTCCATTTCTTAGGTTCATAAGTATAATTTACAAATAAAAACTAAAGTCGATAGCCTGTTTTTAAATGCACATATGCAATATTCAGACATAGGTGATGAACCAATAACAACTACCCAACTAATTCACATTCTCACTTCACACAGTTAGCGTTCCATATGATGAGAACAGTTAAGATGGACTCTTAGCACATTTCAGGTGTGGAGTACAGCACTAACTGTAGTTACCATGCTGCACAGAGGCCCCAGAATTTGCTCTTCCTTGCAGAACTATACCTTTGTCCCCTCTGGTAGCACTTCTCTATTCTGTTAATGTTACTAAGAACCACTATTCTCTTCTGTTTCTACAAGTCAGTTTTAATTCCACTGTTGCTAAGGATGATTGATAAATAAAATGCTGATTGGCCAGTAGCCAGGCAGGAAGTATAGTGTAGGCAGGAAAAGAGAGAGGAGAAGGCTGGGGAGAAGAAGGCTGAGTGAGGAGACCCTGCCAGCTGCCACAAGGAGAAGCATGATGTAAGATACTGGTAAGCCATGAGCCATGTGGCAAGGTATAGATTTATAGAAATGGGTTAATTTAAGATATAAAAACAGACAGCAAGAAGCCTGCCATGGCCATACAGTTTATAAGTAACATAAGTCTCTGTGTGTTTACTTGGGGGACATGAGTGGGAGAGATTTGTCCCGACTGTTGGCAGGCTGGGACACAGGAAAGCTTCAGCTACATTCCACATGTAAGTAAGGCCATGTGGCTTAGTTTGCTTAGCACAATGACCCCAGGTTCACATGTGAATATCTTTCTATTACAATCTATGATATGTTATATTAATATATAGTATATTAACATTTTATGTATCAGTCCTTCACAACTCCAATAGCAATACAACTATTTCTTTGAAATACCAAGTCCATTTTCTTCCAAAATACACCAAGAATAGCATAGTTGATCATATGATGGTTTCATCTTTAATTCTTTGAGGAACCAACATTCTGTTTTGCTGGGATGGCTAAACTGACACATGTGCCAGTCAACAGTGTACAGGGGTTCTCTTTTCTCCCCATTCTCAAGAGTGTTTGCCATGACCTGTCATTTTGATGATAGCCATCTGACAGTAGTATATAGGAAGAATGGCGTAATGGCTTCTTGGTGTTTCGACTTGTATTTTTCTGATAATTAGAGTCAGATATTTTTGAATTTATCTTTTGGTCTTCTTTTGAGGAACGTCATCAGGTCCTCACACATTTTTAAATCTATTACTTTTTTGTTATTATTAAGTAATTGTGAGTCTCATATATTTTTAGTATTAACCCCTTTTCAGCTGTGTGGTTAACATTTTTGTAGTGCTGGATATCACATCTAGAGACTTACACATGCTAGGCAAATACTCCACTATTGAACTATATCCCTACCTTAGGTTTTGTGGGCTGGCTATAGAGTCTTGCTAAGTAGTCATGGGTACCTCCAAGCTTGTCATTTTCCTGCTACAACCTCAAAAGTACTGGAAACACAAGTGTATGCCACCTACAAATAAATTCTCCCATTCCATGGGTTTTTTTTTTAAATATATTTTAAATGTTTCCTCTGCAGTGTTTGAAGCAATCCTGTTTGTCTGGAGACCTATACTTGCTTTTGTTGTTGATGCCTCAGGGTTTACATCAAACAAAACAAAACAAAAAGCAAAGAAAACTTGTCAGAACCAAAGTCAAGAGGTGTTTCCCTTTGTTCTAAGAAAGATCATTCCCGAATGAAATTTCTTAACATGCTTTGAAGGTAAGAAGTGACTATAAGGTTTGTGTTTGCAAAGGATGGTCTCTGGGGCCTTCTTCAGTGATTAACTATAACTCTTGGACATTTATATTCTTGAGTTCTGCCCCAGTAAAAGGGTCAAGTATGCCTGGACAGTACATGACAGGAGAGGTGGGATGAACATCTCCTACGAGACTGTTTTCTATACTTGAAATCTTTGCAACAAAGTCACCTAAATAAGACCTGTACAATGACAACAGCAGTTGTTATCTCAACATATATGGAAGAAATCTCATGATGTTTTCCACTAAATGAAGATCTATAAGCAATTAATGGCTACTAAGAGAGAGAGAATCAGTCTTCTCCAATGATGAGACTCCTGATAGTTTATCTAATCTCAAGGGGTCATCCCTAAACATAAATACACATAAACAACACTAAATGGACTGTGCAATTTGTATGTGTGTAATAAATAATAATTAGGGAAGAGGAGGTCATTAACTGGAAAGGTAGCAGGGAGCATCTCATATAAACTTTTTTTTTTAAAACCAGTTTCCCTATCATTTTCTTTGAATGGAGTGATGTTTCTTGGTAAAAGTAAATTTGAATCAAATAGCCTGTCCCTCTCCATTGATAAGAAATAATTCAGTTTGACACTGGCCTCTAAGTGGAATACACTTTAAAGTAAAATAAAACTGAAGATCCAACTAGTGTCATGGCTCATCAGGTAAAGGTGCCTACCACTAAGCCTGATGACCTGAGGTGGATTTCTGAGACCCAACTGTAGATGTAACCAACCATCTTGTTAAATAAGAAACACAGAACCAATGTAAAAGAGAAAGCCAAGAGGTTAGAGCTCAGAGCTAAAACCTTACCCTTCCTCCTGTGGTGGTCCTACCTCTCCGAAAGAGACCTACTTCCTGTGTGTTTGTCTTTACATAGTCTTTCTGTTATGCCTTCTCATTGGCTGTAAACCCAAACACTGCCTCGTCACTGCCTATATGTACAGCCCTCCAGGTCTTCTATGGTATTGAGATTAAAGGCGTGTGTCTCCAAGGCTGTATCCTTGACCACACAGAAATCTACCTAGCTCTTCTATCAAGTGCTGGGATTAAAGGTGTGCGCCATGAACACCCAGCTCTGCTATGGCTTGCTATTAGCTCTGACCCCCAAGCAACTTTATTTATTAACATACAAATAAAATCACATTTCAGTACAAATAAAATACCACCATACCCAACTGGTAGAAGGAGAGAGCAGACTATTACAAATTTTCTACTTAATATACATGTGTACTGTGGCATTTATACACACACACACACACACACACACACATACACACACACATAAAAATGTTGAAAAAAAATCTAGAGATCTTTGTTTTAAGATTTTTAACGGAGGAGCTGTAACATCTCAGGAAGTAATTTTTCATCTGTCTAGTGTAACACAGCTGTCTAGTGGTAAACAATGAACCTTCTGTACTCTGACTTCACTGACCTCCTTCAGAATTAGCTGCTATATAGAATTTACTTAAACATGTTTATCTCTCTGTCTTGAAAAAAACTGTCTCCTGATTCCCCTAAGACACTTGTTGCTCTCATGAAATACATTGGTCTTCCTAAAACAGAAGAAATTAATCTTATTAACTAATTGTCTATATATTCTAGTACCTCATATTTTATTCTTCCTCACATTTGTATTTTAGACTCAACTTGGATGTACAGATGAGGAAGATCATTCAGTGTAGATAATTACCACATCAGATTTTATAGATAGTGGTTTTTCTCTTTGTACCTTGCTATGTGAACAAGAGGCTTACTAAGGATGTTCATGAATATCTATAGTTTGTGTAGAGTGTGAGGCTCTTTACCAACTCAGATTCATCTTGAGTGAATTTCTAATTCTATCATACATGTGTGAAATACACCAAATTACCACAATATAAAAATGAAATAAGGCAAGTGGTCTATCTTTCCTATGAGCTAAGATCTTAAGCAGTGTCAGAATAAAATATTCTGTGAACCAACCAAGGAGGTAGAGGTAGAAGGGAGCTTTCATTTGACATAAAATTCTGTAATAAAATATTCTCCATGGGTTTTTTTAATAGTGTATGACCCTCATCATGAATCCATTTAAATACTACTAAAAGACTTTGCCTCTTTTAAGCATTAATAAATTATAGGATCATTTTTAATTAGAAGATTTAATTTTATGCTCCATAAGATTATTTGTTGTATTCAGATAATGAGTAATAGCTACAAAAGTCAGGGTCTACATTTTTCTTCTCTCCATAAATTAATGTCTGACATTCAGAACACTTAGTATGATGGAGTTTCTGGTGGACAATGCTGGAACATTGGCCAGATTGCTTTCCATGATGTATAAATATTGGCAACAGCTCCCAAATGATAAACTCTCAAAATGTTATAAGCCTCAAATAAATATCAATGGATGAACCCATCAATCAATACCCTAAACACATAACAGGAATGAAAATGTTGTGCTGGTCAATAATACTGTTGAATACAGCAGAAGGTTACATTACATTTGTGGGTTTATTTTTTTAATTAAAATTAAATTATAAATATAATTAAATTATAATTAAAATTAAATAATTAAATTATAGTGAACTTCAGACACAGAGAGCATTCATGTTAAGTGTAGCAATGTGCACACTCAGCACAGACTGTCATTTTTGGAAAAATAGAAGAAGCATGCTTGAACCTACAAATCTACTCTTATTTTGAGATTAAGAAGTGAGTTACTTTCACTGATCAATTGTACTGAACATAGTTTTGTCCTTGTAGGTTCAATTGTAACCTGCATGTAGACAGATCATCTTTTTTCTCAAAATAGAATATGTTAATTTTATCTATATCAAATATAGATCTTAATAATATCAAATATATCTTAATAATGTCAGCATCAACAACACATTTTTTAGGGAGTGTATTAGGCAGGATACATGTAGTTGTGGAATTTTAAAAAAATACTTATTTTCTTATTACTTTTAATTGTGGAGTTTTTTAGTGTGTGTGTGTGTGTGTGTGTGTGTGTGTGTGTGTGTGTGTGTGTATGTGTTCACACACTAGTACATGTGCTTGTAGAGAGACAGAGGCCTCTGATTCCCTTGCAGCTGGAGTTGCAAACAGTTGTAAGCCTCCTAAAATGGGGACTGGAAATTGAGTTATTTGCAAGAGCAATATGCAGTCTTAACTGCTGAGCCATCTCTCTAGCCCCTAGTTGTAGAATTTTAACAAAAGCTCTGTGTCTGCCACTTCTTCGCTTTACAAGTGATCAAGATGAAGTTGATATGAAGAACATTTGGTGAACCTCATCTCCCAGGGTTTGACAATGCAAAGGTGCTATGAGAAAAAATATGTTTTAGAAAACTGATTGTAGATAGAAAATGGTAGTATTATCTGTGTTATCCATTTACTCAATAGGTACTCATTGTGGTCCTTGTTATAGGTGTAACAATGAAGAACATTAACATGGATACACTGGCTGTTTTGATTCTAAAATCTGTTCTGTATGGTGAAACAGCAGCCACTTAGGAGAAATTTTTAAATGCCTGAATCTTTTCATTGACAGATGGACTTCCTCTAAAATGTGGACTTTCAAGACCAAACATTCCAAGGCCAAGTGGCTTCTGGGGACATCTAATTTTCCAGGCAGACTGTGGATCAGGCATCCTTGCATTTGGATAGATGGTTTCCCAGGGGGCCTTGAACAGATTGGGCCCAGCACTGGCACAGAGAAAGGCTGGAGAATCATCTCCTGGAAGCCTCAATTAGTGTTTGGTGTATGAACATTAAACAATGCTGAACGTGGAAACAATACATCACCCGGCAGGTCCTAGAACATAAACAGAAGGCTGGCCACAGGCCAGGGCCCAGGGCCAAATCCCTTGTCAAGGACAGCTCTTCTTGGAGAAATGACAGCAGGTTTGAGGGCAGCAGGTTCACCCTTAAGAGGTAATAATGTAAATTACACTTTGAAAATGGGAAGAAGACAGGAAGGTGGCTTTTGCTTACTTGTCTAATAAGCATTTTACTTCTCTGGCACAACTTTCTTGATGGTCTAAAATAAATGAATTTTATAAAAATAACAACAAAATTTTTGAGGAGGGAAGCAAAGGCAAGGACAGTGGCCTTTATAGTTCTGGTCATCTCTTAGACTCCCCTGACCAACCACTGTGGTGATATACTCTGTACCCTAATAAAATTTGCCTGAAGATCAGAGGACAGAACGAGCCACTCAATTAAACATAGAGGCCAGGCAGTGGTGGCACACACCTTCAATCCTGACACTGGAGAGGCAGAGATCCCTCTGGATTACGTGAGATTGATCAGTCTAGGAGAGAACCAGAGCCAAGCAGTGGTGGCACACATTTTTAATCCCTGTACTTGGGAGTCACATGCCTTTAATCCTAGCACTTGAGATCTCATGCCTTTGCTTGGGAAGCACACATGCCTTGAATCCCAGCACTAGGAAGGAAGTGATGGCTGGGCAGAGAAAGGTATATAAGGTGTGAGGAGACAGAAATTAGGACCTTTTCAGGCTGGGGAGTCCTAGAGGTAAGATGTGACAGTGACTTGTTCCTTTGTCTCTCTAATCTTTTAGCATTTACCCCAGTATCTAGCTCCGGGTATTTTTATTAAAAGACTGTTTAGAATTAATTAGTGTTATAAACTACTCAGAGGGAGATTGTTGCGTGTGTGGCACTGAGGTTTTTGTTAGATGGTCTATGGTTCTTTGGGGGAGCATTATCACCCCAAGTGGCATAACTTCACTTAATATATGCATGTATATATGCTTATATATTATATGTTTCTTTTAAATATGAACATAAAATATGTTTACCTACAGCTTTTTCAAACATCCTTAGTGTTATTTATCTCTACCCTCTAGTTCTTTCTCTGTACTGTTCTCTCTCTCTTTCCCTTCTCAGTTACAGCCCTCCCCCTCAGTTCCTCACATTTCCTCTTTCATAGCACCTGCGTCCATCGTCCACCCTACTACCTCCCTCTCTATACAGCTGCTCCCCTGCTGTAGCCCTTTCTGCTTTCCTGGTTTCTGTGATTTCACCAGATTATATACTGACATCTAATATTCAGGGCTAAGATCCAAAGAATGGTTGGAGAAATTGAGATTCCCGTTTTGGCATACTGAGAGACAAACAATACATTCAATTCAGTATGTGGTGAGGGTAGACAGGTACATGAGTGTGCATCCCTGTGCTGGTTCAGGACAGAAGACAAAATGGAGAAGCCAAGTGGTTTGACGTATATACAGACATTTTGAACCCAATTTGACTTATGTTGAAAATCTTAAAGTCTCAGTTTCCTCATTAGTTATCTTTCAGTTGAAAGGAATTTGAAAATTACCATAGCACAGGGATGTTATCAATGAGGACAAAGAACAATGGTGTTAGATTTAGAAGACAGATATTTGAGTTCTGGCTCTTCAGCTGGTTAATGTTAGCACTTTAGATAAGTTATATAACTCATTCAGGTTTCATTTCTTTAGCTTTAAAATGATGAAATTAAAATCAATACCCTCATTGGTCTCTTTCTTGTCTAATAATCAAAAAGAAAGTCTTCCCTCTGTTTTAATGTTAGTTATCTCCATTCACTGAAAAGAGAATGGCTTGTAGTAATTTAGCTGTAAATTAATTAAACACACAAAACTTTGTAATCACTTTATCTGAAAAGCATTAAGTCCTTAAATAGAAAATCACAGGACATTTTAACTTCGGTTGGAGAAGGACCACAGAACCAGACTCAATTCTTCACTATCTATACAATTTTCTCAGAAGATAAACATGTTTTTCTCATTTTGAATTGTAATGGCCAGTTAATTTAGGCAGCATAGAGCTAGAAACAGGGATAAATCATAGCAAACAAAAGAAAAACAAATTGACTGAAATAATTTTATGATGGGCGAACAAAAACATTCATTTTCATAACTAAGCAAAGTCATTAAAGGTGGGCCTGATATTTCAATAGAACAGTTCACGTGGACTGAGTTCATATTTTTCCTGTTATCGTGACATCTGTGTAATCTTTATGCAAATGTATGATTAGCTATCGGACTCTTAGAGGGTAGCTGAGAATGAACTGGCCAGTGGGCTGCAGTTTACACACCAAGCAAGAACATCACTAATCTTAATGTCCTACATTTATGCATAGAATCATAAATTTACAGAATTAGGAAACTTAGAGCTTAAGTTCCTTTTGCACTTGGGATCAATTTCCAACAGCCTCAACTATGTTTAAGACAGTGACTGGCATCTCATTTACAGTCTACACAATGCCTGTGAAATTCTAAATGAAAAGCAGCCCTTTACAATTTCAACCCCTGAACTGGTAGTCCAATTCTTCATTTCTGTCATTTCCTTTAAAGAAACCAATAGACAACTGCAGTGTGGGGCCTTTGACTTTATTAGAATACATGGTGCTTTCTATCAAACTTTCTACGTAGTTTCAGGCTCTTGAAGTCTCTGTTCCATGCTTGCTCATAAGTGTTGACTCATTATGCATGAACTCATTTCATCATTTTACTTTTTAAATGTGTTAACTAGAATGAACCATGATTAATTAGATAGGATCTGATCATTTTAGACCTTGGTAGACAATCTGCTTTCAGATTTTACTTATATGGAGCTTGAGGAACTAGAAAGTCATGCTTTTCCATAAGATTGCCAAGTCAGACACTACCACATATGTACTTTTGTACTTTGCTGATTTTTTTCTGCTCTAAATTTAATAAGTTTAGTATGTGACATTCTTTAGCCTGACTTGCTGCTTGAATGTGCTCTCTTCATTTGATGCTCATAGTCACAAACACATAAATTTATTTTTTCTATCATGTGTATTAATGAGAACAGTGATGGTGAGTATAGTACTTAGGCAAACAATGTTTCACTTTAGAGGTGCTTATTAAATTCCTTTATGACATATGATGTCTTTAAACAACATAAAAAACTGAAGATTTTAAGCTAACTTTATTTGGAACTATAGGTCCTCCAACCCTGACAAGTGCATGCGATTCTTATTATTATAGTTGATATCTTGAAGGAAAGTGCTGATAATCTATCATTTATAAAATGATGAAGTTCACACTTCCCTCATGTCATATTTATTCTTGTTGACTTTTGGCTCAGATTCCAGCCACTGACACCAATTTGAATATGTGTAATGGCTTTCACTGTGTTAGCATGCCACACTTAAAGCCACAGGAGAATGCCTCTGTCACTTTGGCATGACTGTCAGTTTTACATGACTGCGTTATGAAGATAAGACCAAGAACCATATTACACAGTCAATGAGAAACATGCTTTACTCTTTTTCAGATCTATTCCATGCTCAAATTAGTATCTGTCACCATTGGGATTGAGTCAAAGTAATGTCCTGTATTTTCTTTTATGTCTTTTTGAAGTCCCTGCTCTCTCTTTCCGTCTCTCTTCCTCATCTTTGAATTACCATCTCCCTCTGCATTTCCTGACATTTTCTTCCATCCCTGTCTTTATCTCTCCTATACATATCTGATGCAAATTCTTTGGCTGGAAGCTGTCATTGTTACTTACAATCTTCTCTTCTACCTTTATTCTTATGTTTTGATCTTAGAAAAAAAGATCCTCAATATTCTTCTGGTCATTTTCTTAATGTGGGTATATTCTGTCTTGATCTAGCTAAACTGACCCACCTGTATCTGAATGATTGCCATGTGGTACTTCAAATTACAAATACATTCCACTATTCTAATCACGGGGACTGTCTTCCACTTCTTTCTGTTTCTTTCTTTGGACTCTCATTCATTTAGCTTTGCTTAAAACCTTCTCTTTCTATAGATAGTATCACCCATCTTTTCCTTCATAAAGTCCTGGCCCCTCCCCCTACTTTCTCTAGTGATACATGGAGATAGTCACTGTTTAATTATTATTATTTTTTTTAATTATTATTATTATTTTTTCCCTAAAATGCCCAGTCTTGTTATTAACATAATCTTTGTAATAACATGATTACCATCAGCCTGGTAGAAGTCATAGCACCAAAGAGCTCAGTTAGAGCTATTAGGTTTGCTTTGGTAATGACATGATAAATGAGTAAAAATCACAAATACCAAACCATTATTATCACATCTTCTTCAACGTCAAATAATGCCTTCATTAGGCCACCCTGCCAAGTCCCTCATTGATTAGCACCACCTCCAAAGATGGTAATTCATAGAATTGATCAGCCATTAACTTAACATTTTCAAATGCCAAGGCGTAAAACTGTGCTTTGCAAGGGCAGCCTGGAAACTGCTTTTCAGATAAGGTTTTAAGATCATGTCAATTCTTGGATCCCAATTGGTTGGCCCAAAAAGCTTCAGATAGTCAATTTTCTTCAATCAAAGAGAAAGTAATTTACATTTAAAAATTGTTTTCATCATATCAGATTCTTTATCTATGTTAATTCTCACCTCAACTCTAAAATGATCTTAATTTTATAGATAGGGACATCAAATCACCAGAATAACAGTTATATAAAGAAGCTAAAGACCACTGCAGAAACTACTGCTCAGTCCATAAAGTGTTCAGTATGTGTGCTGACAGTCTCTCTCTCTCTCTCTCTCTCTCTCTCTCTCTCTCTCTCTCTCTCTCTCTCTCTCTCTCTCTCTCTCTCTCTCTCTCTCTCATCAACTTGGCACAAGCATGGGTGATCTGGGAAGAAGCAATCTCAATAGAGAAAATACCTCCATCTCAGATTGGCTTGATGCATGCCTGTGGGGGCACTTTCTTGATGAATGATTTTGTAATATGTGCTTGGGTTTATAACCTCCTGGGTTTATAACATTGGATAAGTTATTTAACTCCCCACCTCCCTTTTGTAAAATGGGCAAAGATACTGTTCCTGTCTCTCAAGTCTATCTCCCAAATTAAGTGTAAACATCTTAATTGTTGCAATGAACTTTTCCCAGGTAGCTGTAA